AGAACATCTAATAGAAACTGAGAAAAACAAAGCAAAGCAATTAAAACAATAGCAATTAAAACAATCTTATAATGCAGTTTCACACCAACACAATAAAACAGATTTGTAGAAAATGCTGGCAAAACAAAGAATAACAAAAAGAAAAAACATGCAATGATCATAATCCAAAATCATTTAAGTAATTAATCCACATTGGAAATCACACAATACAAACCCAAACCAAAATATATCATGCGAGACATTTTATTTCTACCTTTGTTATTAAGTCTTTATACTAATCAATACCAGAATTGCTTTCTTTTTGAACAATTTGCGAAGGTCAACTTTTTAAAAACCTGCAATCACGATATATAGTTTTAACACGATGAAGATAGAGGGACTTACAGTTTCAAGAATTTATAACAGCAAAACAATTACCCCATATCGATAACATTGATAATCAGAGACATATCTCTTAATCAAAAGGAAAGAATACACATCAACAAAAAATGTTAAGTTTTTGTCCTTCCTGATCAATACACCTTAAAAATTAAGTGATACAATGAAAGTGAAAAAGAATAGCCAAAAGTGATGAAAAAAACAACAGTCCCAACTCTTGGATCGCCGATGATAACAGAGACCAACACCTGAAGAACCAGATTCAATGAGAAGGAATAGGAGGAAGAAGAAACGACCCAAGTTTAAACATCATAGAAAAGAAACTGATTTCAGTACCATAGAGTTTGATTTGGGGATGTCTTTTCTTGTTAGACTAAACATATAAACCAAGATCGTGTAACATGAATCACAGCCATCCAAACACAAACTGTAGTTCATAACCTTTGTACAAAGTAGAACTCTTACCTGCAGATCCAGCTTTTACACAAACGCACAACCTCCCCAAAAACCAAAAATATGGAACGAAAATTTGGAGGCCAATTTTGTGAATATTTTGCCAAATAAAGCACGAAGGATTTGGGAGGAATGCAAGATTTTAGAAGAACAGAACACAAAATGAAGATGGATCGAAGCACAGATTGGCGAGAGAGAAAAGCCAACAGAAAGGTAAAAGGAAGAAAAAACCTAATCGTTCTTTGTACTGCTTCTCCTTATATCAATGAACTATCATATTTCTCAAAAAAAAAATATATAAATGTAATTATAGTAATGCAGGAGAACTTGGTCCCTTACATGATAACATTAGATGCTTAAACAATGAAAAACAAATGTTAAAAGCCCATCTGCCTTCTCAAATTTTAAGATATCCATCTAAATGAAATCACACAAAATCAACAAACAATTCATCAAAGCACTCCTGCTTTCTTAAACTTTGACACATTCATTAAAATGAAATCATACAAAATGAAACTTCAAAAACAAAAACACAAATACACTTATTCAAATAAGAAATGCATACACAATTACGAAGGAGTGGAACCAAGGAAAGCAAACCCAAACCAACAGCAGCCTTCCAACTCCTATCAAATCTCAGTGGAGGGAAATCATACCCAAACCAAACACAAAATCCGCTTTTAGCAGGCAAAGCCTAGATAAACTGGCACAACTCACCGCAAAACCAAACAGTTAATGTTTCATCCAAATCAACACAAATTCAAAATAACAACTCACACACAGGTGTTAGAAAACCAACCTGAGTTGAATAAAACTTGTTTGAACAATGATCTGAAGGTAGGCTGTGCCCAGATTACACTAAAAATTCGTCAAAAGGCCGGTCAAAAACCCAGAATTGCGACGGAAAAAGAGGAAAACACTCTGAAACTCTCGCGTCAGCGATCGCAAAATTAGAAAGAAAAAAAAAACGTTTGATACAAATTTTATAAGCTTTCGCAAAACAACGATAAATCAAAGGTTTACAGCGATGCAGAACCCTTTGGAAACATAGAACCCAAACAATCAGTGAATCCAAGATTTTAAACTCGGGGTCCCAATAATAAAGGTCAAAAAATTTATAGATAAAAATAACATCGAAAAGTTAAATATAATATATTTCATTCAAAAATCATATGCAAAACAACATTACAAGCTATAAAATCCTAATTCAAGCGTCCACGACGAGGTTTCATAGTCTGAAAATGTTCCATAATAGCTTCATTACCAATACATGAAAAACATCTTTCTCAATGTAAACAACTAAGCTGTCATTCAACCATTGATCTCCTATTTTGTTGCAAAGTGGACTCTTAATGATATTCATAGCGGAAAATGCCCTCTTCACTGAAGTAGTTGCAACTGGTAAAACCAAAGCCAACTGAACAAGCAAATATACATATGCAAATGTTCGATGCATCCCTTTCTCCACCATTTTCTTAGCAAGCTCATTAATCTCCGGCAATTGAGAAAAATCATTATCAGAACGCACAAAATGGGAACTCATACTTTGTAGGCCTACAAGGTCCCATTTGCAAATATGCTCTTCGGACCTCATCTTGAATATTAGAAGGGCGAATTTTTTTTCCCGGGTCTCTCTCTCAAGATTATTAAAATCAATGTCACACTCATTTTGTCGTGAGCTCGAACTACCCGAACAAGTAGATGGTGCTACTGGCTTTGGCTTGAAAAATCTTTTCATATTTCTTATTTCTAAACTGCACATTTAACCAAAAACACAAAACATATACCAATCAACCAATAAACAAAAATTCCATCTAAATTTCAATGATAAAATGAGTATACAAAACATAAAACATATCAACAATCATATCAATAATAGACTAAAAACTCCACCAATATCTAATATAATTTAATTGAGATTAGATTAGAATACCAAAATATTTACTTGAATTTTAAACCAAATGGTGGTGGCTTGGAGAATTGAAACAAGTGGAGGTATGATATTCGAGTAATGTAATTATAATATGGGATTGGGTGGGATTAGAAATTTAGGGTTTTGGAATTGGGTGAATATAAGAAAGATGGGGGGATTAGGGGGCAAAACAGAGGAATGGGGAAAGGATTCTCGGGAAAGATGGCCCGTGTGGGGCTAGGCCTTAAAAAAGAGAGTATGGAATCATGGACAAACAACACCGTTTGTCTCAGGCTTTAAACAAATAAAAAATAAAAAATTAAACAAATTAAACAAATTGGCCAAAACACTGCGTTTTGGACCAATTTTTTAAAAGGCTTGTTTGTTTTCTTTCTTCTCCCCCGCGGCCCTACTGTCTTCTTCTTCGTTGCAAGCTGCAACCTGCAGCACAGACGTCGTGGTCAAGTACGAGGGGTCCTCCAAAAAATTTCTAGCAGAATTTTAGAATCGTCGAGGGGTCTTGGGATCTCCCATGTCCCTCTATAGATCCATCTCTGCAAACAATCCCCCAAAAAAGAAAAACCAAAATCTGCAGTGAATATTTTACCAAAACTAAGAACAGAAGATTTAAGAGAAACTAAAAGCAAGAGCAAAACCAGGAGAGAAGCAGAGATTGGCAAGAGACAAAACACAAACCGAATGGTAAAGCGATGAAAACCCAGTGGAATCGTAGAGATGAACGATGATCGACATACGAATCAAATGGGTAAAAGCGGCTTTTGATTGTAGAAAAAGAGAAAGCAGCATGTTCTTACTAAGGCCATCTCCAACAGAAGGATTTAGAAAGCCAGATGACCCAAAATAGCCTGAAATCATCTCTAACCGAGGGCTAGGCCAGAAGGCTTGTGGGCCCCACGGAATCTGAAAGGGCCAAAAGGCTGGCTGGCTGGTTAGCCAGAAAATAGAGCAATCATGTTGGTTAATATATTTCTGTCGGTTATAACTGATAGGATTGCTTAAAAAAAATTTGAATCCAACGGTTAGCTGAAGTCAGGTAGCCGTTAATTTTGAAATTTTTATTTTTTATTTACAAATTTTTTTCCTATAACTTCTATTTTTAAATTCTATTTTTTTTATAACTTCCATTTTACAAAATTTGTTTCATATTTTTTTAAAATTCTATTTTTTTTCCTATAACTTCTATTTTACAAAATTTGTTTCATATATTTTTTTATAAATTCCATTTTTTTCCTATAACTTCTATTTCACAAAATTTGTTTCATATTTTTTTTAAATTCTATTTTTTTCCTATAACTTCTATTTTACAAAATTTGTTTCATAATTTTTTTTAAATTCCATTTTTTCCTATAACTTTTATTTCACAAAATTCGTTTCATATTTTTTATAAATTCTATTTTTTTTCCTATAACTTCTATTTTACAAAATTTATTTCATTTTTTTTAAATTCTATTTTTTTTCCAATAACTTCCAAAGCCATTATACAACATTAAATTAAATTAAGTAACATGAAACAACATTAAATAACATTAACCAACATAAAAATTATACAACATAAAAAAAAACATTTAACAACATGAAACTTAAACAACATTTTTAAAAACATTTAACAACATAACGCCTACTCCATTCTTTTGGCCCAAAGATGTGCAACAAGATCTTGTTGTAGGTACTTGTTTGTGGCACAAGAACGTATCATTTTATAGCGCCTCATGTACTCATTTATAGAGATACTATTAGTTCTTGGATTGAAAGGAAAATTAGGCCCATCATATATTTTTTCATGAGCCTTTCTTGACCTATTTGGATCTTCTTGGTCGTCATCAGACTTTCCATCAATATACTCATCTCGCTCATCCTCCACTATCATATTTTGTAATATGATGCAAGACATCATGATGGAGTCCAAATTTTCTTGACTCCAACCTCTTACCGGTTCGCTGATGATCTTCCACCGTGCTTGTAAAATATCGAAAGCTCTCTCAACATCTTTTTGGTATGCCTCTTGCTATAAGGTAAACAATTTTTCTGGGTCATTCCTAGGGTTTGGAATTGCTTGGACAAGTGTCGCCCACTTTGGGTAGATGCCATCTGCCAAGTAATACCTCATATTGTATTGACGGCCGTTGATGTAGTAGTCAAGTTGAGGTGCTTTACCTTCCATCAGGAGATTGAAGAGGGGTGAACGCCCAAGAACTGTAATGTCATTTTGGGATCCAGGGATTTCAAAGAAAGCATGTCAGATCCATGTGTTATATGAAGCAACCGCCTCTAGCACAACAATTGGCTTTCTCGACCTTCCGCTAAAGCCTCTTTGCCATCTAGTGGGACAATTCTTCCAATCCCAATGCATGCAGTCTAATGGCCCTATTATGCCCGAAAACCCACGGTCTTCAGCTTTGCAAAGGACCCGATTCAAATCTTCTTGATTTGGCTCGCGGAGGTACTCTTCTTTGTAAACCTGAAAAATTATGTCACATAATTGTTCAAGAGTATCAAGGCATGTGGACTCTGACATACCATGGGTTTCATCCATCGAATCAGCTAAGAAGCCATAGGCCATCATTCGGAGTGCAATGGTAACCTTCTGATAAGGTGAGAAATCAGGGCGGCCTGCTCTGTCCCGCTTCTGTTTAAAGTATGGATTGACCTGCTGGACATCATGAAGTAAACGCTTGAAGACATGACGCCTCATCTGGAAGAGACGTCTGAAATCCTCTTCTATGTACACTGAGTTGGGGTTGAAGTAGTTGTTCATCAGATTGGCATGCGTCATTGCTTTGTTTCGGTGGTTTGTAAGAGCGACCAGCAATAGAGCCACCCCATTGAGGTTATTCCTCAGTTGGCTGACACACCATGGCTGCAGCCATGACTGTTGCTCTGTTTTATTTGTTGCACCTTACTTGAACTTCTTCATTAGACTCCTCATCTTCTTGTCTCATTTGTGCCCATTTTTCTTCTAATTTGGAATTGGATGAGGACCCCTAGTTGGAATCCGAAGAGGATCCAAAGTTGGAATTCATTGCAAACTTGAATTGAAATAGATTGAATTCAAAGTTGTGTGAATTATAGCCCAATATCCACCCTATTTATTGCAAAAAAAAATTCAAATCCAACGGCTAGCTGACGTCACTTAGCTATTGGATTTGAATTTAAGTTGTAGTTTTTAAATAATAAATTATGTTTAGCCCTATGGCCATTTGGCCCTCAGTTGGAGATGGAGGCAAATATGGCCATTACTGTTCATTAAAAAATTAATATCTTGGAGGACGAGAGGGCTAAAATGAGTCATCTGGCCAACCCTTGATTAAAGATGGCCTAAGGGGGGTGTAGTCAAACTTGGATTTGAGAGGATTTTAAAAGACTTTAAAATCCTAGTATAGTCAATTAAAAGATTTTAAAGGATTTTAAAATCCATTCAAATCTTGGTGTAGTCAATTAAAAGATTTTAAAGGATTTTAGAATCCATCCAAATCTAAGTGTATTCAAAAAATTAAGATTTTGGAGGATTTCAATAAGTTGTGGATTTTGTGGGATTTGAGAGCAAAAAGTAGATATAACCAAGATTAAAAAGAATCCAACCTCACCCCCTAAGATTTCAAATCCTTCCACCACAATACGTTCAAATTCTTTAAAATTTATATGAATTTTGTAAGAGTCTTTAATTCTCTTAAATCCTATCAAATCTATCACTTTTAAAATCCTTTAAAATCCTTCCGTCTGGAAACTATAGATCAATAGTAACACAAAACTGGGTTATATATAATATTACAATTCTTTTCTATTTTTATAAAAAAAATTCTCTTTGACATGGTAGTCGAGAAAAAAAACATGAACGTACAACCACTCTTGCATCTAACTTATGTCTTGACCATATGGACATTAATTTTCTGGTTGAACTTTCTTTCCGAGTCAATTTCTGGGTTCTTTCATATTCTCCAGTGTTATTAAAAGCCAAAGAACTTGTGGGTTTGATTGAGCACTATCTCTAGCTCGGGTCATTTGGCTTCAATTTTATTAAAACACTAAAAAAATTTAAGCCGTTTTGATGGCTTTCTTAATACGTGATACCTTGTTGTGCAAACAACATCTTCTTGGCAACATTTTCATTTGTTGCGTCTTATTGCTTACTTGTATTTTCAGCTTGGGTGTTGAGAGTGATATCAGCTGCCTCAAAAGCATAAAAGCCTCACTTGAAGATCCTTCAGGCTACTTATGCCTTTTATGGGATTTTAGCAATACCACCGAAGGCTTCATCTGAAAATTTCTTGGAATCGAGTGCTGGCACCCAAACGAGAACAAAGTTTTGAACATCAGGCTTTCGGATTTGGGACTAAAAGGTCAGTTTCCTCGGGGCTTATCTAACTGCTCAAGCTTAACTGGCCTAGATCTTTCCGGCAACAAGCTCAGTGGATCTCTTCCTGAAGATATTGGCAGAATCCTTGCGTTTATTATGACTCTTGATCTCTTATCGAACAGCTTCTTGGGGAAAATCCCCCCAGATTCTTTCGAATTGTAGCTATCTGAATGTGCTTAAGCTTGAAAACAATGAGTTCTCGGGTGAAATTCCTGCACAACTTGCCCAGCTCAAAAGGCTCTAAACATTTAGTGTGGCCAACAATAGTCTTTCCGGTCCAGTCCCAAATTTTGACGGTCCTGTTTCATTCGGACCGGAAAGCTATGCTGGCAACTCCGGACTCTGTGGAGGCCCGTTGAAGCCTTGCCAGTAGAAGCGTGGTACTGTGGTCAAAGTTTGGAAGTCGAATGATGTAGTTATGGCAGCAGCTGGTTTTGGTTTTCCCCTTTTTTGTGTTTTTTCCCTGCGAGCTGCTAGCAGGGTGCTGTATTTCATGGTATCTCACGAGGATTTAAGTCGAAATAAATCTGATCAGTAATTTGTATCCAATCGTGTATGCAAATAATCTTGTACTTGAAAATGAGAAATTTTTCGGCGTGACTTAAAAACCATGAATTAAGAAAGAGCTAGGTAGTTCCTGGGATTGACATATGAAGGAATAATATGGCTGAAATATTTCATATATTGAACAGGGGGTAAGTGGCCCATATATATACAAATACAAATAGAAAAGTCAAACCCTGATTCTAATCCTATAAAGCTGTGATCCACAATTCATGGAATAGCCTTCTCTAGTTTAGACTAATACAATATTATACATTAATTACAATATATTCTTAATACTCCCCCTCAAGTTGGAGAGTGAAGATTACGAACGCCCAACTTGTCTCGCAGCTTCACAAATTGATCCTTCCCTAAAGCCTTTGTAAAAATATCAGCTAACTGAAGGAGTGTAGGCACATACATAGGACGAATTATACCAGCTTGTAATTTTTCTTGAACAATATGGCAATCTATCTCAATATGCTTGGTACGTTCATGAAAAACAAGATTTGCTGCGATGTACAAGGTTGCCTGATTATCACAAAATAATGAAGCGGGAGTTTTCTGGGGAACACGTAAATCTTGTAATATGTATCGTAGCCAAGTTATTTCTAGGCAAGTATTTGCCATAGCACGGTATTCCGCCTCAGGTGATGACCTGGACACATTATCTTGCTTCTTGGACTTCCAAGAAATAAGTGAATTGCCAAGAAAAATACAATATCCCGTAACTGATCTTCTGGTGGCACGATATCTTCCCCAATCAGAATCACAAAAAGCTTTCAAGTCTAGATTATTGTTGGCTGAAAATAGTATACCTTGACCTGGAGTGCCTTTGATATATCTAAGGATTCGCATAACTGCATCCCAATGCGGTTTCCGTGGCTTGTGTATAAATTGGCTCAAAGTACGAATGGGATAAACAATGTTCGGTCTAGTAACAGTGAGATATATCAGTCTTCCAACTAACCTTCTATATTTAGTTGGATCATTCAACAATGCTCCATTTGTGGGTGTAAGTGCTAAGTTTTGTTCCATTGGAAAAGGATCTGGCTGTGCATCGAGTAACCCTGAGTCTTGTAGAATATCAAGTGCATATTTTCGTTGTGACATAAAAATTCCCTTTTCCGAGCGTGCGAACTCAATTCCCAGAAAATACTTTAGATCACCAAGGTCTTTGATGCGGAAGCGTTTGAAAAGGAAGGCTTTGAGTTGTTCCATTTCTTGGATATTATTTCCTGTGATACGTATGTTATCAACATAAATAAGAACAACAGTGATTGAAGTACCTCGAACCTTGGTGAACAAGGAATAATCCGCTTTTGATTGATGATATTTGGCTTTTTAAATAGCATCTGAGAAAGTGGTGAACCAAGTTCTAGATGCCTGTTTGAGTCCGTAAAGGGACTTTTTGAGCCAACATACAAGATTCTCCCCCTGTTGGCGAAGACCTGGAGGGCGTTCTATGTAGACTTCTTCATGAAGAGTGCCATGAAGAAAGGCATTCTGAACGTCTAACTGGTGAATGAACCAAGTACGGGCAGCAGCAACGGTAAGGAGACAACGCAGAGTGGTGAGTTTGGCAATGGGTGAAAAGGTTTCCTGGTAATAAACTCCCTCAATCTGTGTGTATCCTTTTGCAACAACACGAGCCTTGTAACGATCAAGAGAACCGTCAGACTTGTACTTTTTTTTGAAAACCCATTTGGAATCGATAGGCTTATGACCAGCAGGAAGAGGGACCAAGTCCCAAGTGTGATTACGTTGTAACGCATCTAATTCTGTGTGCATAGCTTGTTGCCAGTTTGGATCAAGGATAGCATCAGCAAATGTGGTGGGCTCAGATAGACCTGTAATGTTAGCTAAAAAGGAACAATGGGCAGAAGAGATATGAGAGTTGGAAAGAAAATGAGATATGGGATAACGGGTACCTTGTGCAGAACGTGGTGCCAGAGAAGAATGATTGACGTGGTGAGACATATGGTAGTCTTTAGTCCATACTGGTGGCTATTTGGGACGAATGGAATGCCTGAGAGAAGGGAGAATGGGTGGTGAAGAGATGGGAATATTAGGGTCAGGATGAGAGGCATTGAGAGGGGTAGGAGAAGATGTAGGGGGTGCAGGATGGGTGGGTACATGTAGTGAGGGAGAAGAGGTAGGCACGAGTTATGGAGGAATGTCGGTGAGGGATGAAGCATGTGGGATATTGGGAGTGGGAGTGTCGGCATGTGAAAGAGCAGTATATGGATCAGCGCCAGGTGGGGTTAAGGTAGGAGGTTGATCAATGTGATTGGTAGGTGCATGAAGCGGTGGAAGGAAATAGGAAATAGGAGAAAAAAGGGTGAGGTCCTGATTTATGGGGTTAAGGGTAGTGGTATAAGAATCAGGAGATGAAAGATTGGAAAATGGGAATGAAGTCTCATGAAATATTACATCACGGCTGATCAAAAATTTTTTAGTGTCCAAGTTGTAAAGTTTATACCCTTTGTGACTTGTGGGATAGCCAACGAAAACACACCGGTGAGCTCTAGGTTCAAATTTGTGGGTAGGGTGGACAACAGTAGCATAACTAAGACATCCAAAAATGCATAGATGCTCAAGGGATGGTAGACGTTTGTATAATAGTTCAAAGGGTGATTTGTTGGAAAGTAAAGGAGAAGGTAAACGGTTGATGAGGTAGACGGCAGTGAGTACGCATTCACCCCAAAATATGAGGGGTATGTTAGACTGAATGCGTAAAGCACGTGCCACTGCAAGAATATGGCGATGTTTGCATTCCACGACCCCATTTTGTTGAGGGGTGTAAACACAAGTGCGTTGAAGTTCAATCCCATTAGATTGAAAATAATCCCTCATGGATAGGAATTCAAACCCAT